TCGGGGCTGGGGCCGGCCACCTGCACGGCCGCCCGTGGGCAGGACCCTCCGGCTCCTGGGAAGGGCGGCCCCTCAGGACCCCCAAGCATGTCCGGTCTGTCTGTGGGCTACCTGCCTCTCCCCCGCACCAGCTCCACCCCGTGTCCACCCCCTGCAGTGTGCCCAGCATGCCCTGGGCACCCCCTGCAGCATGAACAGATGGGGCCCCCCACTAGCTGGACGCCCCCTACTCTCCATGGGGTCCAGTTCATGAGGCTCATTTGTTTAATCAAACCATTCATCTGACCCAAACACCCCACTTCTCCATCTCAGCGGGGGCTCTGGCTGCATGACAGGCGCCCAGCTCTGCGCCCCAATGGACCTCAGCCAGCCCCAGGGCTCCCGCCTCAGTGTCCTCGCTCACAAAGCAAGGCCGCAGCCTGGACCGAGAGCAGGTGGGGCGCCGGGACCAGCTCCCTCCCTGAGCCTGAGGGCCCCACCCCACCCTGGGCAGGGGGGGCTGCCCCTGCTGCTGACCCCAAGGGCCAAGGGCGGAAACCTGGCCAGCACCTGTCGGACTCCCAGAGGGACAGACCGTCTTCTCTGAAGTCCGAGTCAAGCTGACCTCGAGCCAGACCAGGCACCAAAGGAGAGAGGACTCCCCAAATCCAGCCGCCCCACTCCCGCTTCCCGGCCGCTGGGCTCCCGCACACCCACCACACCGGTCCCTCCGCACACTCGCTGCCCACGGGCCCACCCCGGCTCCGGGCTGGATTCCGGCCGGCCTCCCGGCTGCAGCAGGACTGGGATGGGCCCACTCAGGGGCAGAGGCTGCCACCAACCAGCCCCTCCTGGGGACAGAGTGTCCACCTGTTGAGGCCAAGGCAGGGGGCGTGAAGGCAGCACTTCCCCGCCTGCAGTCATCTCGAGATGGAGGGCCAGGCCGATGGGCAGGGGCAGGAGGCGCCCTCCTCGGCAGGGGTGCCAGTCCCCGCTCCCCAAGGCTGAACTCTGCTCCTGATGAGGAAGTTGAGGCTGAGTGGCTGCAGCCACGGCCACCCAGCCGCACTGCCCATGTGACCAGGGCCCAGGCCACCTCGCCCATTTCCTGCCAGGCCTGGCCCTGAGGGGCAGAAGGAGGGGCAGAGGGGGCCCCAGGGCCTACTCTCAGGTGCTCCCACCTGGGGGGACACCCACCAGCCTGGGGGCAGCTAGCGGGCACGGGCTCTGGGCAGAGCCCCACTGCGTGCCAGGCTGCCTTCCTGGCTCAGAGCCGCCTGTTCAGCCGCATCTCAGAGGAGGCAGCCACCGCACAAGCCCCACCCGGCCCGGCTCACTGCTCACAGCGGCCGCGCCCTCAGGGGGCTCTGGGCTCACCCTGGAACAGGCTCTGGCAGCGAAGCAGAGCGCAGGCCTCAGTTTCCCCAGCAGGAGCACAGGCCGTCCCAGGAGCGGCTGGGAACAGCACTAGGCGGTGCGGACAGAGCGAGGGAGAACAACACCGCACAGACATGGGGCTCCTACAAAGCTGAGGCCAAACTCCACTGGGCAACTGAGAAAATCAAAGCCAGAGAACAGCATGCTGTCACCCACCGCTGCGCTGGGCGGGGCTGCGCTGGAGCCATGGGGCCTGTCTCCTGCACCCGGCATCCCCCAACCCCCCCGACCCTGAGTCCCCAGTATCGGGGCCGAGGGAGGCATCAGGGCACTGCCTCCTGCCTGCGAGCCCACACCCTTACCCTCAGGATCCCAGCCGGCCTCCCTCCAGCTCGGGCTCCCCGTCCGCTGGGGAGGCAGCCACCTCTGACTCACTCCCTCGTGACGCTGGTCCGCCCAGACACGGTGACACACCCGCCAGGGTGCTGGGAGGACTCTTCCACGTGAGGTAGCCAAGCAGGAAGAGCACACGAAAAGCGCTGGAACAGAAGCAGCTTGTGCAAAGGGCCTGGGGTCAGGGTGAGAGGAGGCACAGGCCTGCAGACACGGGGGACAGAGGCAGGCCCGTTCCAGGCCGCTGCGTGTGGGTGGGTCCTGCACCTGCCCCGGCTGAGCACTGTTCGGGACTGGCCTCCAGTCCCGGCGTCTCCTCTTCGCACGGGGACCTGGTGCGAGTCACACACCCTGAGCCTCCCCTCCTCGCCCTCCCATCCAGGCTTGTTGGTCACAGCGTCCTGGGGACAGGAGGCAGCCCACCGGCACTCCCCACGGGCACTTGGCCTAGTGCTGGGTCCCAGGGTCTCTGGGGGTGAAGGGCACCCTGCTTAGCCCAGATCCCAGCAGCAGGGGGAGGTGACAGGGAACACAGCTCGTGCTGAGGTGGGGGGGTGGGTAGAGGAGGCAGCCAGAGCGATCCAGCCCCACGGCGCCTCCCAGGAGCCCAGGGCGGAGGCCGAGGTCAGCCACGCCACACACTGCGTGGACACCTGCTGTCCGCGGTGCCAGTCCAGGGCGTCCCGGGGCAGACCAGCCGGGTCACCGGCCTTGACCCCTGTAGCGGCCAG